GAGAGTAATTATCCTTTTTAGTTGCAGTATTCAATTTATGGTAGTCTACACAGAATTGTTGTTTTCTATTTTTTTTAGTTAATTCATTTGGGTTAAACCAAACTACAGCTGGTTTATTTGGATCCATATTTGGGTTGTTGAATATTTTTTCTCGTATGAGTGGAGGTCTAACTTCTGACTTTGCAAATAAAAAAATGGGAGTTCGTGGTCGATTGTTAGCACAATTTTTATGCTTTTTCCTTCAAGGAGCATTTTTAATACTTTTCCGGTTTTTGAGCATAGATTTGACGACAGCTATTATCCTAATTGGATGTTTTTCTTGGTTTACACAGGTATATATGAAATCTTTTTGAGATACATATACAATGTTACTACGTATAATCAAAAACTAAAAAGCCATAATGTATTGTAGGCATGCTGTGGCACCTCATATAGCATCGTTCCCTATATCGACCCGGCAGCTTCGGGAATAGTTACAGGATTAGTAGGAGCAGGAGGCAACATTGGAGGTTTAATATTTGCGGCGGTTTTTAAAGCTTTTGCTGCTGACATGCGAGTGGGATTCATGATAGTAGGATTATCTGTAATTGCGGTTTCATTAGTACCATTTGTAATGAGTATTAATGGGCGAACACTAATTTTTGGGACAGTCAAAAGAAGTTTCTAATTTAATATACGGATGATTGAAGATTTAGACTTGAATGCTTAGTTGACTATTTTTTTTCTATTTTAGATTATTATATCCTTATTATATATATATATATATTAATATTGATTTATTATATTGGTATTTTATCTAAGATGCTAACCCTATTTAAATGTGGGTTATGTTTTTGATTAGCTTGTTTCTACGTAGTCTTTCAATTTCAAATTAAAAGAATTCTGGGTTATCAAAAATAACAAAATTCAGTATTTAGCGTTTATTTTTCATAAAATACCAAATGTCTTTTAATTCATGAATCAGCCCCTCAAAGTCCAGGTCGATCACTGCCGCTAGCATCTCAGTATAATTAAAATACTAACGCTAAAATATCAACATTGCCCGAACTTTATGGTAGGGTGTCATAATACCCTATCGTGGCAAAGTTCGGTAATGATAATTTTAGCACGTATTGATTGAAAAAAAATACAGAGGTGCTGCGGCAGGCTGATTCTTTAATTCACTCACAGAATTTTGCAAACAAACAATCAGTGTATAATAATCCGATCTTAGCGTTGGCTTTCGTTGCTTCCTGTGATACATGTAAGGTTAACTAGAATTAATGGTCCGAAAAACTAAATTTAGATTGGCCATTATTAGGTTTTCTATAGCATGTTGATATCACATGAATAAAAGCAAAATCGTATTCGAAGAAAAAAGTAAATAAACGCAAAAGATAAAATAAACGAGTTTCTAAACACATTTCTGATACTAACAATAAATGACGAAATGAGAATTTTACTATATACTGCTCTAACAACTTTAATTTTATGATATATAATTAAATAATCAATCTATAAGTTATGACTTAACATTTTGAATTTTAAAATCATTGTAAGTTACAGTATGAAAATTCTGGAGTAAATTATGGTAACATTACAAAACTATAACAAGGGCACATTAATGATAGGTAACGTGTAGTATTGTGTTCTATTACACTAGGTTACAAGATCTATGCACAAAAAGCTTAGAATACACTTTAAGCGCCAAGTAGTGAAAGAAACAATTTACAATAAAATGACCCTTTTTTTTTATAATTTATACAAACTATTTTTCACCCATTAAACGCTTTAGTTTTTATTTACAAGTTACACTTGATCGTGCCAATTTTATCGTCTATCACACGTGTGTGGACTGTAATTTTAAATTAGAAATAATTTCTCCGCTATGTTTCAGTACAAAATATACACATTAGACTATGACTATTTACGTTTTTGATATAATAGTAATATAAATCTGATTTATTGATCATCAAAAAAACAGTAACGAATCATGAGTAAGTAAATATTTATCACTGTAGCGTTATCATATAATAAAATATGATTATGATAATATTTACTTGCAGGTTTTTACTTTACGTACACTCATGTAAATTTTAATGCTATATAATC